TAAACACATTTCATTACACCAAATACACAAAATAATGTTCTTTTTAGCAACGTCATATGACCCCTTTAAAGCACAGTCTTTGCTCAGCTGTATGGTAGAGTGGGGTAAAACTGTTTTACTACTGTTTTCCCAAAAATAACCACTAGATAAAATCAAGATACATTTTTGTAACTATGGACTATGTTGACAAGGGTGATGTAGAAGTATAAAAAATAATTTTAATCTCAAACTGCCTGCACTCTGATTTAGCTGTAAATCTATAATGCAAATTGCTTTGTCAGACTGAGGGGCATTTTACTCCACCTTTGGCGCAAAACGCTTAGAACAAATTAAATTTTTGTTAAAAATCTAATAACATGAAAACTCTGGACATTTTTCATACTTGGTTTATAAATGATATAATTGTCACTAAAACTATGATAACTGTTCTGGACACATTTAACTTTTGTTCTGTTCCACAGAAAAAAAAAAAAAGAAAAAAAAAGAGTCCTTAAGAGAGGTGTTTTCCCCCACTCTACCCAGTTCACCCAAAAATCATCATTCTGTCATTTACAGAAAAAGATGAACATTGCATGGCGTGCAAAATTCTTGTTCAGTAAAAAATATTCTTACTACTATCTTTGCCAAGTTGTATTGTTTGACATTTCTATTTCACAGTTTCACCACTGTAATAGCTTAAATAATGAATAATAAAAACTCTTAACAAAAAATGAAATATGATGGTTTTAATAACCTTGTGTTGAGCTGAAGAGAAGAAACGTCCATCACAACTCTGAGATCCCTGCTAATGTTGTGCCGTCTGAGCTTCAGGGGGATTTTTATATAATGAGAAGATGCGTATTAAACAGCAAAGGGGCTTCGATTCTGAGAACTGAAAGTTTCTGATATTCTGCGAAAAACTAAATAATACTCAGACTCTGATACTCTGCGAACAGCAAAGGGCTTCAATTCTAAGAACAGGAAACATGCCAAAATGGAGAAGGCGTGGTTTTGACTGAAGTTTGTCTTTGATTGGCTGCTTGTGTGTTGTTTGTGCTACAATGTAACTGCTCTGTGAACACAAATGTCACTGCAGAGCTAGAACTTCCTCCTCTCTACTAAAGTATAACACCTGCATTATATTCATCTGAAAACCAACACCACTACTAAGACCTTACAATGACTGTTCCTCTGACTGATGGCTAATATAATAATGATATTGCAATTTAATTGAATGATGTACAAATGACTGAAATAAAATAAACACTAGCATTATCATTATGTTGCTGGGGGGCATGTGGAAGGGATGAAAGCACTTTTAGTCAGACACATGGACACAGTTACTGGCTGATATTCATATTCAAAAATAACATCTGATACATCAGTCATTAATTATGTCATACAAAGTCAAAGATCAGGACAAGATGCAGGATCGTTACAGCTAATTGTCTTAGCTTATAGACAACATTGTGAAACCACTCTAAATACTGATTAATATTTGATGACATTTTCAAACTTTGCATAAACTCATCTAAAACAAATCTTGAACTATTAGTTAAAATTCTTCTAATACCATAAAAAAAATTACAAAACAAGAAGATAAAGATAGATTAGATTGAGTGTTCATGCAGAATGTTGTCAGTAAAGTGCAGCATCAGTGCAGGACTGAGACACTCACACGGATCTGTAAACAGTCATGCAGAAATTCAGTCTGATGAATTGGTGTAATGTGGTACTTTACAACATGAAAAAAAACAGCAGTGAATGTAACGGTGAAACTAAAATGAGATGACACAATAAAGGTCCATAATGAACAAACACCTCCACAATGACTTTCACATTGACTTCATGCTGTCTAATGCAAACAAGTGTCTCTTGTGGTTTGTGTCACCTTTCTGGCTTATTTTTTATTTGTTTTTTTCTTCTGCTGTTGGTGCACCTATGATTTCAGATGTTTTATCTATCTATCTATCTATCTATCTGTCTGTCTGTCTGTCTGTCTGTCTGTCTATCTATCTATCTGTGTGTGTCTGTTATAAAATAATATATTGTCTTACACTTGGATGTTTAAGCAATATCTCTTCAAAACTTTCACATACACTGTGTGAATTATTTCTATAAAGATATAATGCATATAACACAGCAAAGGTGTGATCATCTTTGACCTTGTTTTGCAGTGAACTCTTGCTTAATAATTTTTCTGTTATTCCAACCAGGACTTCATTTCCGAATAAAATTACGTTTCATAACAGCGAAGTACATCTGAGAGATTTCACGCTAAGCTGCATCAGACAGACCGCGGATGAAGTCCTTAAGTGCGTAAAGGCTTGTGCAAAACAAACATAAACATTTTTTGATTAAACACTGTGTCATCCAAGATCTCGAGACTGTGGAGCCGCTGGATGAATTTCTGCACACGCACAGCGGTACACCTCCAGATGTTACAGATACAATAAGCTATCATCTTCTCCTCCGGCGGTTGCCATGACAACAAACAGTCTCTATGGAGTGAGAATAGGAAAAAGCGACAGCCATAGTGTGGCGACAGCACCACACCTCTCAAGGGGAAAATAAACTGTAGGCACGCATGCTTTTTCTTTTTTTTTCAAAACAACCACACAGATTACAAATCAATCATACAGAGTAAGCAATAATCAGTTTACTTAAATTAGCTCAAAACAAACAAAAGAACCCCTAAACACACAATAAGAAACCATTGCAAACAAAACTTACTTTAATAAATGTATTTCCCGATGTAAATTGTGGCTGTGGTTTTGATGACAATAACTGAAATACACAAGGTGGTACTTCTTCTCTATAGCATATCAGTTTCAATACAACAGTACAAAGTACATTAGATACTGACAGCAAGAGACTGGACAGGATTTACAGTTATGCTTTTACTGTTAGCCTGTCAACAAATTACAGTACAATGTCACTGTGAATTACAGCAATACAAAATCAGTACGGTAAACACTGGAAACAGCCTTTAGGCAGAAATGTACATGTAACACTATAAAGCACCTTCACATACAAGCAACATGCAAATATAATGGCAAATATTATGTTATTTCAGCATATATATATATATATATATATATATACACATTTTACATATTATATAAAAACGAATTGCATGAATATGCGTATGTCTTTGTGAGTGAGTCCTGTGATGGACCGTCGTCTGTACAGATTGATTCTCTGTCTCTGAGATGCTGTTATAAACTCCAGCATCAGATCTTACATATGACAAGCGGTTTGAGAGTGGATGGAAATATGCAAATACGTTTTGCTTAACTAAGTCAGTCTTACAAACAGAATGGATGCTGCATTCATTTAGAATAAGGTGAAAAGATGAGTAATGAATGCATATACAATAAACAGTATGGAAGGATGCAAAAACATATGCACCTTACTTTGCAGCACAGAAGTGATTTTCTGTGAATGTGCAAGACTTCAGATTCATCAGCTGCAATATGGCAATAACTAAGATTAAAGTGTCGTAAACGGTAAAACAGTTTACACTACAGACCAGTGTATTTATAATTATGACAATTCATTCAAATAACATGGCAAGCAACACAGCATGGTTTCTTAGCTTTGGCCCTCGAGGTCCATTTTCCTGCAGAGTTCAGCTCCAACCCTCATCAAACACACCTGAACAAGCCGATCAGGTTCTTCAGGATCACTAGAAAGTTTTTGATCAAGGTTGGAGCTAAACTCTGCAGGAAAGTGGATCCCGAGGGCCAGAGTTCAGAGCCTCTGCAATACAGCAGCAGTTTTTGCAATGTCAGGCAGCATAACGAGTTGTTTTGTGCAACTAAAAATAACTGGAAGTGTATAACAGCGGAAGCCAGATACATTCAGTTTACAAACAGCCATGAACACACTTCTGTTAGAAATATCTGTTTGTAGATTGAATGTATCTGGACTCCTCCAGTTATTTTAGAATATATTAAATGAATCACAAAATACAGGGATGCAAAAACACAGATAGTAAACGAAAATGCATGAAATATAAGGCAGTGCAAATTGAAACAAATATTTAGTCAAACAAAAACGAGTCTCTGTGTGATTCAGATGCAGATCAAATGTTCATGGTGTGAAAATGATCAGAGTAAAGTGCTACAGTTCAATAAAACACTGACCTGAGAAAGAAACGGTTCATTAGTCTGTTTGTTTGTGATCAGATGAGTCTGTAGTCTGGAGTGATGGAGTCTGTGATGATGAAGATGATGATGATGATGATGATGATGATGTTCAGATCTTCAGCTGCTGGTGTCTCAGTGATGCTGTTAGTTCTTGAGAACATCTGAAGGGTTTTGATGTGAGGATCTCACCTCAGCTTTTATGTCAGAATGAAACTTCACAGGCCCGTCTGAATCATCTGAAACTAGAAATCACAAATATATATTTTAGATGATCTACATATATTGTTTTGAATTTATAAGTTTATGTTCTTGATCAGTAATACACGTCAGTTAAACAATCACACGTCTGTTTCATTCATCTAGGTCACTGCAGAAAGTCAGTGTGATGAATCTGTCTGAATGAAAAAATACTATAGTAATTTGTAGTAAATACTATAGTGTTTTTGAACCATACTATAGTAAAGTACTTGAAACCCATCCAAAGTGCACACAGTGAACAGTGAACACACACACACCGTGAACACACACCCGGAGCAGTGGGCAGCCATTTATGCTGCGGGAGCAGTTGGGGGTTTAGAGTCCGACTCTCTAACCATAAGGCCACGACTTCCCCGTATATACAGCGTTATGAGATTGCCGTTTTGAATCCTCCTGTGAAAGGTTATTTCTGTTGTGTATTTCACAAAATATTGTGTTTTTTTCTGTTTAAAATCATCTAATTTACATTGTATTAAAAAAAAAAGGTTACGTGATGCATGATATGCTCCGATGAAACAGAGTTCCCTCATAACCACGAACTCTGTTGAGTCATAGTTTAAGATAATTCAGTTTTATTTCAGTGTTTATGATCATCATTAGTAGATTTACTCTTAAAAACATTCAGAGTGATGTTCAGTGATGTTGTGATGTGTTATTTTATTGAAAAGATGTGTTGAAAATGCCAACGTATATGCGTAACGTTGATTGCATCGTTTAATTTAGTAAGTGCTTTTTGCTTAGTCACAAATTCATGTTTATACTGCTTTATTAATCAGTATTTCTGCACGAAACTGAGTTTATGAGAGATTTCATATGTAAAAACTCAAGTTTAACGTGACACCACCTATTATGTGTTGATAGGAGAAAATCATTTCCTATGAACATTATTAATGGTACAACAGAGTGAAAATCATTTTATTAGATTCAGATCTGTAGAAAGAGGTCTTGTAACTTTGCACGAGTTCAGTGTTTAAAACTGATTACAATATGCATGTGCAGATTGGTTTTTTTCCTTCCCGTTTCCCTGTGGTTTCAAGCCACGAGGTTGTTGAATCAAAGATGGCGAGCCAATGAAACTCCGGAGAAGAAATATCGCAAGCAGTGAAGTTTTCTACGAGCGATCTCTCAGAGATTTCTAGGATCTTCAGTCTCCACTGAACTTTTTCTTGAGTGAACCTACACAAGGATCAGATGAGAACTTTTGATCATATTTACTACCCGGGTAGATATTGACGAAAATACTACTTTTCTGGTTTTGTTTTATGGGCCCAAGTTTTTTGTTTATATACTATTATTGAACTATAATTGTATTTTCCTTTTACTTGATCAAATTGCACTTTCATATTCTAAAAGGAATGGTGCAATAAAACTGTGCAGTTGTTAAATATTACTCACGTGTTGTGGTTGTGACTCACAAATACTGCCTCCTAGAACCTAGGTCTTGAATTTTAGTGGTTCTATTATCGTTTAGCTGGAATTGAGTGAAATCGCTACATATATATAATCTTTATAATATCATGAATATCTTCTGAGCTGTAATGCTGCTGATCTCCAGTAGCGAGCGACACTTGACTGTCTGTCACTCAATCACATGATCATGAGCTCCTCTGAGACGTGAAAACAGTGAGAAACAAACAAACAGAAGTATGTCTCAGAAACACTTTGACTTATTTAATATTGCACAGATGATATGAAGGTTGTACACGGAGTAATGGCTTGCAGATCTCGAGTATTACATGCATTTGTATTGTGCTTTGCTGTAAAAATGTGATAGTTGAAAATTTAAAGTTTCAGAAACTGTGTGATATGTAAATATAAATAATGTATTTTTAGTTTATTCTCAGAAAATTGAATGCGTATACATCTAGCATTAACTCTAATGGTGGATAAAACACAGTGTCAGCTTCAAAAATGATAATGATTAGCCAGATAATATTTTAGACATTTTTACAATGTATTTTCAACAGTATAGATAAGTCTGTCTATGACCTTCACAGCTGGTTGCATTAAGGGATCACACGACTAAAGAAAATTACTCTGGAACAGACTTTAATGATAAATACTTGTAGAACAGGAAGAAACACAACCAAACTAATGTGTAAACAAAGATGAACAGACACTAATGGAGAACTTAGAGTTTAAATGCATGGATGCAACGAATGGAATAGAGATAATTAGTAAACACCAATGGAATGACTAATGAATTCAACAATCAAAGAAACAAACTAGAAACTGGGTCAAATGAGGAAGACAGACAGACAAAGCATACATTTTACAACGTCAAGTTAAAGCTGCCTTCGTGTCGTGTTTTAAACTCAAGTTTAACATATAGTAACATAGCTACAGTAATAACAGTGATTACAGTAGTGATTACTGTAAAACAATCAAATTCTGAAAAAAAAAAAACACGTACAACTATTTACAAATATCAAATACATTCACAGACATTCAGATTATATGAACTTTGCAGTTCTGAAGTGTAAGAACCAACCAAATGTATGCAACCTTCAATGCATTACTGTAATTGAAGTGCATTCACTTATGAATACTATGCATACTAATATGGAATAATGTATAATATCCTAAAATCTACAAAACAAAACCAAATGAAGTCAGAAATTCAAGTGTTTTAAATATGTACAAATATGATCAAACACTGAACAATGAGCCATTTTACGTTATGTTAAAAAAAAGAGCAGTTTAGTCTAGGGCTGCATGATAAATCAAAATAAAATCTAAATATTGCTTAGTGCGATCATCTTGCGTTCATCTGAAAACACAAGCTTAGCATGAACTGGTCAGACAAAAACACACAGACTGACTCATTTCCCAGTTCTTCAGAAGTGTGCAAATATGTATATACAGTTCCAAAAAACAAATCCAAAACTATAATCCAAAAAAAGAGAAGCTTTAAGGGCTTCCTGCTGTTTTCTGCTGTAATAAAAGCTTGATGCTTTATCATCTGAAAATGAAAAAAGATATTACTGTTAGTATTGTATTTTTACAGTATAAAATTAAATTATATGCAGCATAAAATATGTTTAGTAAATACTCAACGAATAAGCTTACAGTTCTTAAGCACATTATTCGTTTTTGCTGCTTTCTAAAAACACTCTGTCAGAACTGTCAGTAAAACATCAGATGTCTACATCTATTCTCTGTATGTACTTGACAGGGTAGTGTGGGGGGTGTTACACATTAAGGACTGTGTCATTTTATTCTGTAAAACTTTTAATGTGTTTAAAAAGTTAAATGTGTCCAGAATAGTTGTCATAGTTTCAGTGACAATGACAAGCTGTAAACCAAGTATGAAAAATGTCCAGAGTTTTCATGTTATTAGATTTTTCGTGAATTACCCACTGCTGTAAAAAAACAGATATCTGTTGGTCAAGTTAAACGCACAAAAGCAGGCACACAAACACATTTAGTAACGTTAAATCTCACTGAAAATGGCCGATTAAGCAGTTTTTATTCTGAAATGTATTTCTAGGCAGGGGCGCCGCTAGCAATTTTGGGCCCTATGAAAGAATATGGGGTTGGGCCCCCTACCGCACCAAACATTGCCCAAACTATTGGGACACCTCCGTCTAATGAACAGGTTTGAATACTTTAGTAATTTCCACGAGTACAAATCTTAATGTTTAAGCATATAATGATATTCTAGGGAACTGATCGCACTCAGTGACTCTAGGCTACGTAGGACAGGACGAAACCATGATGCAGGTGGGGAGGAGATAATTTTGCTGGAAATGCAGAAATAAGCCATAATTTTGTTTTATTT